TATGATGATAGCAGCTCTGAGCAAGGACAGATTTACTACAAATTGTCACAACCCTCACTTATGGCAAAGATTTTGTAATGAACTCTAGTGCAAGTGCTATCTCTAACTCCGGCTACTTTCCCTTATTTTCAGTCTCTATACATATTTTAAAAGTTGCTTTAATAGATTTATACAATTACTAAATATGTAAGAGTAAGTCAACATTCTGGAAGTTAAGGTGTTCAAACACTCTTCCTTCATCTATATTCACGCTTTAATTATAATATTATAGCCTAGCACACTTTACAGCCTTCCGTAAATTAACATGTAAGAATTTTTATATCACAATTCTACTGCCTAAGCATTAACTAATACATGCCTATTAAAACTAAATATTATAACACTTGACCTTATGCGGACTATTCTAAAATATTCATTATTTATTAATCAATAATCACTTGGCAAGTAACTCATTACTGTTACATCCTTGTAGTTGTAATAACTGCAAAAAAGGTTATCAATCGCTAAGTATTTCTATATTCAATGCAATTTGTTTTCGTGCATTGACATGGCGCCAAAATTCTTTATAACTTCTTTAAATAAATACAATCATGGTTAAAGTACGCATGCTAAAGTTGTTCCACACCTAATGTTTTCTTATGTCATATGATTACCATTAACTAAAATATGGAAAGCCTTCCGATTGTCTAAACTGCAAATTAATTAATGCTGCTCTCAGCGAACAATAGTTGCGGTTACGAAAACAATACCTTCTCCACTGCTATTTACTTTGGCCTCGTTGATATAAAAGCATAGCAGAACATGAACGTTCTCGTCCCATCATTTTAACAGTGTTAATATTATTATTGGGTTAGGATACTCGCACAATCTTTATGACAGTCTTGATATTATTATTTGATTGGGATACTAGATATAAGATTCCACGTGTACTACAAGCACTTATATTCTAATTTGAGATAGCAGAAGAATAAACTATATTAGATAGTCATTTCAGATTGCAACAGCAAAGCTTATAACTAGAGAAAGTTACAAAAATTACTAATAGTGAGAGTGAATACTGTAGCAAATCGCTACTCAAATCTGCGTGAGTATACTATAACACTACAAGGTCTATCGTGCCATACTACTGTTTATACTGAAATATTTTACTCATCGTTAGTAAACAAGAGTACTTGTATTCAAATTAATCGCAAGTCGTCGGTCTTCTAGCAACATTTATTAATTATATATTACCAGTGCACTGGGTAACAGTTTTTTGGTGGCAATTTTTGGAGAGCTTCTCTAGACTAGATTTTTCTAAGATCTTGGGTGAGTAGACATAATGGTCGTGATAAAAACCACCTATTATTTGTTTATCATCTGCTAAACTCGCACAGTTAGCAATAGCAGCAATGATTCAGAATTAAACTACTGTCTGTTACTATTACTATTACTTGGTTGTAGGTTAATAACAAATTCCACTGTTATCATGCACTAATTATTGACTTTCTATCCATTTCACGACTTGACCACTTTTACAATAGAACTAAGACCTAGCTAACTTGTGCTGTAGCATTTCGCTATCATCAATGAGGCTATAACGTCCAATTAGCGATCATTCTATAATTAGTAGAGGTGAAAATCGTACGCGTACACTAAGTGCCGTTTCGCACGAAAAGCGATTACTAGAAAATTATTTATAGTGAAGCCCGTGAGATTCCATTACAACGGCAGCCATTAAAGTAGATATTTCGATCGGAAGTAAAGTAAGTAAGTCAATAACCGTTTAGAACGGTAGCGATATTATGTCATTTCAAGATCTAGATTTAACCACGTTTCAGTCCTGAAATCGGTCCATACATTGAGGCTGAAAAATTTTCTGATACCGTACTTAAGGATAAATTTACACTATGCCAGTAGCATTGTCCATTACTTACTCAAGCATGCAGTTTTTTATCTCATTGTAAATCCATAGAACTATTCTAAGTTTTACAGTAATTAATTCGTGATACTTCGCTAGGCCTAGTTCTGTAATATTTGATAATTCTACTTTTTACACCATTAAATTATAAAGAGAAAAACATGTCTATGACGTGTGTTGTACAGGTTATCTGGCTCAAATTTTCTAGTTTTGCTGACTTCTAGATCTGACCAAAGATGAAAAGAAAACAAGCAGTACAAAAAAGCCGTAATAAAGCTTAAACAGTCAAAACTTCAGAAAACGTGGATAGTAAATATGCTGAATACGAGGCAAGAAATCATGTCGATCAACTACTTAAGTTAGATGAGCTGAGTCTTAATCTCTTTAGTAGCTTTATCATTATTAACATATTATCAATCTTTAAATAAACTGCATGCTCAACTAGGAACAAATGATGTTGTTATGGGAAACAAGAAATAAGTTAAGGACTGAGTGCACTAAAGAAATGCTAAGAGAGATGCAATTTGCAAATTGTCGTACTACTTCATGTGAAGACACAGTAAGTTCAAAAATTATCATGAATTGATAATTAAGCATATTGAGCTATATCGTCAATGTGGATTCGATTGTATTTATGAACTGAGCATCAGCAATTGACGTTGAAATAGAACTTAGAAAGTTGTGCTGATGGTATCGTATTTGGTGCATTCAAACCCTGTCCAGTCTGTAAAAGGTCAAACGTCGAATTCAGGTAATGGAATGTTTTTACAAACATATTAAGAACTTTACTACCTATACAGGACTTAAGAAGGGAATAATAACGTTATTGTCGTATGAGAATAGCTTTAGCTTTCATCTAAATGAATTTTAAGTTACTTTTTGTAAAAAGCTTTTCCTAGTAAATCATTTTGAAGCAATTATGAGTAGTAGATTGTTTCATTTCGAATAGATAATTAACTGTGATCAAAAATTAAATTTTAGCGAAGATACCAATCGCTACCAGTGTCTTACTTGGGTAGGTGATAATCTATGTAAATATGTAACCGATACGCCCAAAAGAACAGCCTGGAAAATTCCTGACGAAATCAAGGCAAAATCTTCATTTCTGTAAGATGCACGACAAACTGTATGACATTTACCATACTTTATAAAAGAACTTATGGAACACTTCTTAATAAATCTTGAAATATTACGTCAGTCATTTCTATTTAAATAAACGTCAAATCAAATGTTCGCATAAAGATATCTTTATAATCGTTATTTCCTAATCAGTGCATGTTTCTGGTATTAATTGTAGCGCAAACTATCGTTACATTGCTCGTGATCGAATTCATTGCTGGGCCGATAAATCTTGTCCTATTCCTGATGAAATGAGATGGAATATGTTGAGCAGGTATGACAAATAATCAGGTTGCAAGAAATACGTAATCTCCGTAAATAATTGTTGTAAAGGATAACTAAATAACATAATGTTCAAGAAATCATTCTGTCAAGATTTTTACCAAGATATAGCTCACAGATAGTTAGATTCTAATTTTGATAACAGCAGTTACTACCATACTAACTCAACAATTTGATTAACTTTTTGTAGATATTCTATTTTGAAGATAAAGCCATTAGGCAGCCTACGCATTACAGCTGTAGGCAAGCTTAAAAAGAGTAATGTAATGCAATTTTAGTACTAGATTTATTTATCTTTATTTACAAGTAAGCATTTGTATCGTACAAAGCCGAATTTAATAATATTCTCTAATATTTAGGACAACATCAAGGAAAAAATAATTAGCTTAGGAGGTATATTTTGTGATCAAATTTCCAAATATATCAATTTATGTATCAGTCAGCCTGGTTAGTAAACTATAGCTATCAATAATTTTATTTCCTTTACATTGGCAGCATTAAGTCTTTTATCAGATTGCATCTTAGCTGTGATTGTATTTTGATTTAGAATCACTTAATAAAGTCGAAAAACAGAAAATCGATAGTCTGGGCTTGCCATTAGTTTCGGATGAGTTCCTTGAAGTTATTAGAGATGGCAATCTAGATGAAGCTATATTAAAATATGGTATCAGCAATTGCACAACGGATAAGGCTAGAACTGTTTAATTGAAATAGGATAAAATAATTATATCTGTTTCACGTATGATATTTACTTAATGTTTCTGTTACTAGATATATTATATGTGTCTAATCATCAAATTTAATATATATTTCAGGTTTCAAATATTAAAAAAAAGAGGCAAGGTAAAATTGAACCTTTAGCAGCCGATTAATCAACAATACATATTATGAGATTAACTTCTTTTTTCCTTTGCTATCACTTTGTAGGATATTATTCAACAAATATTATTGATTTACGTGCAAATGGAAATGCAACCGTAGATCCCTATTGTGGTATTATTTTTAATGCATAGATTAAATAACTTGGTTAAAAATAGCAGTTACTGATTGGGATAGAAATCACTAAAAATCAAATAATCATGATATTTAATGAATTATTGCTACACATCAATAGACAAAATAAATCTACTCACGCCATGCTAAGTAAATTCGCCTCTTACTAACTAAAAGGGACAAGATTAACTACCTCATAAAATAGATCAGTTCTAACGACCGAGAACTATAGTATCTTTATAGCGTCACTAAGCCTACGTATCGTAACAATCGTATAAGGCAAAATTATATTAGATAACTCGATTTATACGTAGGATTTAAATCTGTGAATTAAATATTTGATAGGCTTACAAGATGACTATCATGTCATCGAAGATTCGAATAGGAACATTTACAGCATCGTACTTGAAAGGACCCCTTGCGAATTTCTTAAGATGCAGGCGCTAAAGCACAATCAATTGAATCAGTTGGTTACTCAATTTTTAGATATGATCTAATGCGAATTAAATCAACTCATTATATGACCGATTTTGCTTCCGGCTTCGTTTATGTACATGTCCTTTACTGAATTTTATCTAGACATTTTATGTATTTATATTTAATAAAACCAATTATGTTATTTAAATAGCTGTTGTCTTGTCAAGATGAGAGATTATGAGACAGACCGAGCTAAAATTAAAATTGAAATTCAAGTTAGAAATCAATCTCCTTCATTTTGTAGTGATAAAATATAATATGCTTGTTACAATTTTTATTCATTTGTAGAAAGAATTAAACAAAAACTATGCATCAATATGTTCATGTTTCCGTGTCAATCAATTTTAGGACGGACTTGCGGAAATAGAAGCCAAAATGGCTTTCGATGCTAAATACTTTAAAAAAACGGGTCTGTGTAGAAAGTGTATTATCTTTATCTTTTAAACAATGTATATTTATCTAATATTGATTCTTCTTTTTATAGGTTATTCATTTACAAAAGAGACACGATGTAAGCGTATGGTACAAAAGTTTTATCCTATTGGTACTGCATGCATTCCAGATGAGGTTTATAACGTCGTTAATTATGGAACTATCGTGTAACCGTATATAGTACTTCAATAGTTATAGATTTCATTGTTGATTTGATTTATTGTAGTGTAAAGTAATATTTAGTTATTTATACATAGGATTCAGAAGCGATTAAATTAGATAATAAGATATCAGAGGCATTATGTAATAAAGTATGCCCCAAGGTTCAGAACTTACTGAAAGTAATTTTTAATGTCAAGTCGATTTCAGCCACTATGATGGAGCTTCAGGTATTAATGATCGCTCGAAATGCAAATTAGAAGCTTCTTACTAAACTACGAAAAACTTTATCAGATATCAGATAATGTTGTCGCAATATTTATAGGTTGATGGAGCAAAATTGCCTCTGAATAATCTTACGGCTGAAAGAATAATGAAAGCAATAAAAATAATTCATCAACTCGAAGCGGTTAGTTGTACTTTAAAAATTAATAATTTAAATTGTCCTGTCTTACGGTTTGGTTATAAAATTATATCGCTAATAGCTAGAAGATAAATTAGATTATGCTAAAAAGTAATTTTTCTAAGCAACATAGTTATAGTAGATACAGTAGTCAAATAATTTTTTATACTGCTCAGCTTTCAACTAAAACTGATTTAAAAAAGCAAGAAAGACTACGCAAGGTTACAAAGTTGAAGCAGAAATTTTATGGTATTCTTCCTATGGAATTAAGTGTTCATGGTTGTCGTGCGTTCGATGACGTATCTGATATGCGAGTAAATTTTATAGAGATATTATTATACTGAATTAAGAAACATAAATCCTTTATACGTATTTATTTAGCAGACATAAATTTAAATTTGCTTGTAAATAGAAAATTAAGATTATTAATGAGCATTTCTTTATCTTATACTTTGTTCTGTAGAAGATAAAAAATACGTTTAAGCATATTTTCGACATTTCAGTAGCTTATGATCAGATTCAAAAAGTTGAAAATGTTAAAAAAGATCCAATTTACAAATTATATCAGAGCTTAAACACAGAACTAGAGGTATGTCATATGAATTTAAGCATAGAGACTTTAATTTTTGTTTTAGTGACTATAATTATATCTCAATTGAATTTACATACTTTATCTTGCATTTAAAACTCTTAAGCTGGTAGAAAAAGATAGTGAAGAATTTAATATGATTGTAGAATACGGTAGCAAAACCTGTGGAGCACCTAGAGAGCAGTATTACCAATTGAAAATTGAAGAGGTTGTTGACCTAATAATGTGATTTGTGAATTTGCGTTTTAAATATAGATAATGGAGTAACTCTTGAACAATTTGAGAAAGTAATTGTGTATATATAACTTAATGAACAGATATATAAGATAAAGAATCATGAAAGCCACAAAAAGTACGAAAAATTTTACAGGTTGGGTAATCGAATGCTGCTGTGGAAGGGAAATCGTTTAATTAATTATGGTCGAATATTCAAAAAAGGTATCCAACCAATGGCAGCAATCGGCTACCTAAGCGTAAGTATGAAGCTTAGAATTTAAATTCAAATGTAGAGCAAAGAAAATGATA